TAGCATCACCTGCTTGTATTGAAATATTGAGATACTGTTAATATTTGAATCATTTTTAGCAAGAGTGAATTTTCACATGTCTAGTAAGATTACCAGCTATCCTTGTAGCATATGAACACTCTGAACATTTGAAGGGTTTCTCTCCAGAGTGAATTCTTTGATGTCGACGAAGATCACTGGATCGTGATGAAGCAAACGAACACTCTAAACATTTGAAGGGTTTCTCACCCGAATGAATTCTCATTATATGTCTAGTAAGACTACCTGCTCTACTTGTATCATATGAACACTCTAAACATTTAAAGGGTTTCTCTCCAGAGTGAATTTTCATATGTTTAGTGAGATTACTTGCTTGACTTGCAGCAAATGAACACAAAGAACATTTAAAGGGTTTCTCTCCAGAATGAATTCTCATATGTCTAGTAAGATTACCTGCTTGACTTGCAGCAAATGAACAGTCAGAACATTTAAAGGGTTTCTCTCCAGAGTGAACACTCATATGTCTAGTAAGAGTACCTGTTTCTCTTGCAGCAAATGAACACTCTGAACATTTAAAGGGTTTGTCTCCAGAGTGAGTTCTCATATGTCTAGTAAGATTACCTGCTTCTCTTGTAGTAAATGAACACTCTGAACATTTAAAGCGTTTCTCTCCAGAGTGAATACCCATATGTCTAGTAAGGTCACTAGTTCTACTTGTAGCATATGAACACTCTGAACATTTAAAGGGTTTCACTGACAAACTCTCACTAGGAGACAGAACTAACGTTTTCTGAAGTTCTAGTCCCGTCAAGTTATCTGCATTATCGAGGTTTTCAGGTACTTCTTGGCTGCTGTGATCATGGTGCTGTTTAACATGTTCTGTTAACTGAGCGTCTGAGTAAACATGTTCAGCACAAACTGGACACATGAAAACAGACGGTTTATCTGATTCAGATTTTATTTCTTGTTTTATGGAACAATTTGATAATGATTTATGTTCTTTGATGTGCTCAACAAAGTAGTCTTCTGAAAAAAAATGTGCTCCGCACATTGGGCAGAGGAAACCGTTGGATTTCTCTGAAATCTCCACTTGTTCTGATTTGATCTCTCGTTTAAAATCTTTAGACATTCTAGGATATCAAAATATTAGATATTAATAATATCATATAAATTACATAAATTATTGTAAATTGGATCTTCGAGAAATTTTGCATTCATTCCGTGATACAACGAAATTCAAATAAAATAAATGGATGAATTAATTCTCAACACACCAACACGAATTATCTCATCTAAAATAAAACACTTGCAATTATGAATAAAAATAATGCTTTAGAAACTACCGTCAATCTATTTGTAATTGTGTTGATATAATTATCGCTTTTCACCGAATGAATCTTCAGACATTTTAAAACATCATAATACCATTGCAGCAGCATATTATGAGCAAAGATAGCATTTTTACAACTAATATTCTAGCAAGTCCCCATTTTGAAATTTCTATACTACGGGTAAATGCCTCACAGAATGGCTAGCCTCACAGAATGGCCAAATTTGTAAATGTTTTTGTAACTAATTTTTTATATAAGACTGGTAGGTTTTGTGGATACCATATGAAACAAAAGTTTTCTGGCAACACTTCCTGTGGTGAAATCATTAACTAGGACCACATTTTCTGGCATAAATATGACTGTTTATGTAGAAATTTTGAGCACTGAAAAATTTGTTTTCAAATTTTTGAACTAAGTTTACATTTTGGTGAGAACTTCTGGCACCAGTATGACAGAAGATGTTCAAAGACTAGTATTCATCAAACAAAACGAACATTGTTCAATATAGGAAGAAAAAAATGCTAAAATGGCTACATGCCTCACAAAATGGCCAAAATATGCCTCACAAAATTTGTTTTCAAATTTTTGAACTAAGTTTGCATTTTGGTGAGAACTTCTGGCACCAGTATGACAGAAGACGTTTAAAGAATAGTATTCATCTAACAAAACGAACATTGTTCAATATAGGAAGGACAAAATGCTAAAATGGCTAAACGCCTCAAAAAGTGGCCAAAATATGCCTCACAAAATGGCCAAAATTTAAAACTCCTTTTATTTAATGAAACAATAAGTCTAAAGTATTCACAAGCTATTTATCATACAATAACACCCCAGATGGAGTGTTTTTACAGCCGAATGAAGGTTATAAATCATGAAATCAGGGAATATGAACAATGCCACACAAAATGGCCATTTTTGGTGTAGGAAATTATGCCCTTTTTATTCAGTTCTAAGAAATTTCACCCATATGGGGGTGTTAACAAGGCATATTAATACCAGCAGCAGGCCTGAAACAAGAGCCAAAGGTTTTAAAAAAATAAAATTTTCTCGTTTTCTTTTTTTTTTGGCCATTTTGTCAGGCATTTTTTCTTTTTTGTGAAATAATTTTTCACAGCGCAGTTTTTTCGTGAGTTTTAGGTTATTACCCCATTCCTTAATAGGTTTTCTAACAACGTGTAGTGATAGAAATTTAAAAAGTATCTCCATCAAAAAATTATAGAAATTCAGATTTGGCCATTCTGTGAGGCATGTTTTTATGGAGGAAGATTTTCCGGCCAATTTTTCTCAAAGAAAAAATGGTTATGAGATTAAATAAACCCCCGGGAAGAAAAATATGACTTAGCTTCTTATGACTTTATGAGATAAAAACTGGAATAAAGTGTGTTTTGTGATTTTGAGATCTACCTTCCTTTTTTTTGGCCATTCTGTGAGGCAAATACCCGTACCTCCACTACTTCGTGCCCTTGCGTTCCCTCCAGCAAGCTGTCGGGAATTATCGCGATCAGCACTCAGTGGCGGAGGTATTATATAGTATTGTAACATCACCTGCTTGTATCGAAATAATGTTTCAATACAAGCAGGTGATGCTACAATTATTGAGAAACTGCTAATATTTGAATCTTTTTTCAACACATTGAATTTTCATATGTCTAGTAAGATTACCAGCTCTACGTGTAGCATATGAACACTCTGAACATTTGAAGGGTTTTTCGCCAGAGTGAATACCCATATGTGTAGTAAGATTACCAGCTCTACTTGCAGCAAACGAACACTCTGAACATTTGAAGGGTTTCTCTCCAGAGTGAATTCTCATATGTGTAGTAAGATTACTTGCTTGACATGCAGCAAATGAACACACAGAACATTTAAAGGGTTTTTCTTCATTGTGAATCTTCATATGTCTAGTAAGATGGCCTGCTTGTCTTGTAGCAAACGAACACTCTAAACATTTGAAGCGTTTCTTTCCAGAGTGAATACCCATATGTCTAGTAAGGTCACTAGTTCTATTTGTAGCATATGAACACTCTGAACATTTGAAGCGTTTCTCTCCAGAGTGAATACCCATATGTCTAGTAAGGTTACTAGCTCTACTTGTAGCAAATGAACACTCTGAACATTTGAAGGGTTTCACTGACAAACTCTCACTAGGAGACAGAACTAACGTTTTCTGAGGTTCTAGTCCCGTCAAGTTATCTGCATTATCAAGGTTTTCAGGTACTTCTGGGCTGCTGTGATCATGGTGCTGTTTAACATGTTCTATTAGCTGAGTGTCTGAGTAAACATGTTCAGCACAAACTGGACACATGAAAACAGACGGTTTATCTGATTCAGATTTTATTTCTTCTTTTATGGAACAATTTGATACTGATTTATGTTCTTTGATGTGCTCAACAAAGAAGTCTTCTGAAAAAAGAAATGTGCTCCGCACATTGGGCAGAGGAAACCGTTGGATTTCTCTGAGATCTCCACTTGTTCTGATTTGATCTCTTGTTTAAAATCTTTAGACATTCTAGGATATCAAAATATCTGATAAATAATAATAATATCATATAAATTATAAAATTTATTGTAAATTGGATCTTCGAGAAATTTTGCATTTATTCCGTGATACAACAAAATTCAAATAAGATAAATGGATGAATTAATTCTCAACACACCAACACGACTTATCTCATCTTAAATAAAACATTGGCAAATATAAATAAAAACAATGCTTTAGAAACTACCGTCAATCTATTTGTAATTGTGTTGATATAATTATTGCTTTTCACCAGAATGAATCCTCAGACATTTTAATACCATTGCAACAGCATATTATGCGCAAAGAAAGAATTTTTACAACTAATCATCTAGCAAGTCCCCAATTTGAAATTTCTATACTAAGGCTGTCTGCAAAGTGGCTTACAGTGGAGGAAGAGTCTAAAATAGCCCAAATCTGACTTACATAATATGTTAACAATCCCTTTCAGACTATAAACATCATTAACATCTGGAAGATTTCTAACCAGAGAGAAATATTTTGTTTTAAAGATTATCCATTTGAACTGCAAGATAGTAATGAGCACACTGAATATTTGGAGGGTTACCTCCAATAGTTTAGTCTCATATTATGTATTGTAGCATCACCTGCTTGTATTGAAATATTGATAAACTGTTAATAGTTGAATCATTTTTAGCAAGAGTGAATTTTCACATGTCTAGTAAGATTACCAGCTATACTTGTAACATATGAACAGTCTGAACATTTGAAGCGTTTCTCTCCAGAGTGAATTCTCGTTATATGTTTAGTTAGATTACCTGCTTGTCTTGCAGCATATGAACACTCTGAACATTTAAAGGGTTTCTCTCCAGAGTGAATTCTCATATGCCTAGTAAGAGTACCTGCTTCTCTTGCAGCATATGAACACTCTGAACATTTGAAGCGTTTCTCCTCAGAGTGAATTCTCATATGTCTAGAAAGATGACCTGCTTTACTTGCAGCAAATGAACACACAGAACATTTAAAGGGTTTTTCTTCATTGTGAATCTTCATATGTCTAGTAAGATGGCCTGCTTGTCTTGTAGCATATGAACACTCTGAACATTTGAAGGGTTTCTCTCCAGAGTGAATACCCATATGTTTAGAAAGGTTACTAGCTCTACTTGTAGCATATGAACACTCTGAACATTTAAAAGGTTTCACTGACAAACTCTCACTAGGAGACAGAACTAATGTTTTCTGAGCTTCTACTCCCGTCAAGTTATCTGCATTATCAAGGTTTTCAGGTACTTCTGGGATGCTATGATCATGGTGCTGTTTAACATGTTCTATTAGCTGAGTGTCTGAGTAAACATGTTCAGCACAAACTGGACACATGAAAACAGACGGTTTATCTGATTCAGATTTTATTTCTTCTTTTATGGAACAATTTGATACTGATTTATGTTCTTTGATGTGCTCAACAAAGAAGTCTTCTGAAAAGAAATGTGCTCCGCACATTGGGCAGAGGAAACCGTTGGATTTCTCTGAGATCTCCACTTGTTCTGATTTGATCTCTTGTTTAAAATCTTTAGACATTCTAGGATATCAAAATATTAGATATTAATAATAATATCATATAAATTACAAAAATTATGGTAAATTGGATCTTCGAGAAATTTTGCATTCATACCGTGATAGAACGAAATTCAAATAAAATAAATGGATGAATTAATTCTCAACACACCAACACGAATTATCTCATCTAAAATAAAACACTTCCAATTATGAATAAAAATAATGCTTTAGAAACTACCGTCAATCTATTTGTAATTGTGTTGATATAATTATTGCTTTTCACCAGAATGAATCTTCAGACATTTTAAAACAAGATAATACCATTGCAGCAGCATATTATGAGCAAAGATAGCATTTTTACAACTAATCTTCTAGCAAGTCCCCATTTTGAAATTTCTATGCTAAAGCTGTCTGCAAAGTGGCTTACAGTGGGGAAGAGTCTAAAATAGCCCAAATCTGACTCACATAATATGTTAACAATCCCTTTCAGACTATAAACATCATTAACATCTGGAAGATTTCTAACCAGAGAGAAATATTTTGTTTTAAAGCTTATCCATTTGAACTGCAAGATATTAATATGAGCACACTGAATATTAGGAGGTTACCTGCGATTGTTTAGTCTCATATTATGTATTGTAGCATCACCTGCTTGTATTGAAAAATTGAGATACTGTTAATATTTGAATCATTTTTGCAAGAGTGAATTTTCACATGTCTAGTAAGATTACCAGCTATACTTGTAGCATATGAACACTCTGAACATTTGAAGTGTTTCTCTCCAGAGTGAATTCTCGTTATATGTTTAGTGAGATTACCTGCTTGTCCTGCAGCATAGGAACACTCTGAACATTTAAAGGGTTTCTCTCCAGAGTGAATTCTCATATGTCTAGTGAGATAACCTGCTTCTCTTGCACCAAATGAACACTCTGAACATTTAAGGGTTTCTCTCCAGAGTGAATTCTCATATGTATAGCAAGATGGCCTGCTTGTCTAGTAGCATATGAACACTCTACACATTTGAAGGGTTTCTCTCCAGAGTGAATTCTTTGATGTCTACGAAGATCACTGGATCGTGATGAAGCAAACGAACACTCTGAACATTTGAAAGGTTTCTCACCCGAATGAATTCTCATTATATGTCTAGTAAGAGTACCTGCTCTACTTGTAGCATATGAACACTCTGAACATTTAAAAGGTTTCTCCCCAGAGTGAATTTTCATATGTTTAGTGAGATTACTTGCTTGACTTGCAGCAAATGAACACAAAGTACATTTAAAGGGTTTCTCTCCAGAGTGAATTCTCTTATGTGTAGTAAGATAACCTGCTTGTCTTGTAGCAAACGAACACTCTGAACATTTGTAGCGTTTCTCTCCAGAGTGAATAACCATATGTCTATGAAGGTCACTATTTCTACTAGAAGCATATGAACACTCTGAACATTTGAAGGGTTTCACTGACAAACTCTCACTAGGAGACAGAACTAACGTTTTCTGAGGTTCTACTCCCGTCAAGTTATCTGCATTATCAAGGTTTTCAGGTACTTCTGGGCTGCTATGATCATGGTGCTGTTTAACATGTTCTATTAGCTGAGTGTCTGAGTAAACATGTTCAGCACAAACTGGACACATGAAAACAGACGGTTTATCTGATTCAGATTTTATTTCTTGTTTGATGGAACAATTTGATACTGATTTATGTTCTTTGATGTGCTCAACAAAGAAGTCTTCTGAAAAGAAATGTGCTCCGCACATTGGACAGAGGAAACCGTTGGATTTCTCTGAGATCTCCACTTGTTCTGATTTGATCTCTTGTTTAAAATCTTTAGACATTCTAGGATATCAAAATATTAGATAAATAATAATATCATATAAATTACAAAAATTATTGTAAATTGGATCTTCGAGAAATTTTGCATTCATACCGTGATACAACGAAATTCAAATAAAATAAATGGATGAATTAATTCTCAACACACCAACACGAATTATCTCATCTAAAATAAAACACTTGCAATTATGAATAAAAATAATGCTTTAGAAACTACCGTCAATCTATTTGTAATTGTGTTGATATAATTATTGCTTTTCACCAGAATGAATCTTCAGACATTTTAAAACATCATAATACCATTGCAGCAGCATATTATGAGCAAAGATAGAACTTTTACAACTTATATTCTAGCAAGTCCCCATTTTGAAATTTCTATGCTAAGCTGTCTGCAAAGTGGCTTACAGTGGAGGAAGAGTCTAAAATAGCCCAAATCTGACTCACATAATATGTTAACAATCCCTTTCAGACTATAAACATCATTAACATCTGGAAGATTTCTAACCAAAGAGAAATATTTTGTTTAAAGCTTAAATCCATTTGAACTGCAAGATAGTAATATGAGCACACTGAATATTAAGAGGGTTACCTGCGATTGTTTAGTCTCATATTATGTATTGTAGCATCACCTGCTTGTATTGAAATATTGAGATACTGTTAATATTTGAATCATTTTTCACAAGAGTAAATTTTCTTAAGACTAGTAATTGCACTAGCTCTACTCACAGCACATGAACACTCTGAACATTTAAAGGGTTTCTCTCCAGAATGAATTCTCATATGTCGAGTAAGATTACCAGCTTTACTTGTAGCATATGAACACTCAGAACATTTGAAGATTTTCTCTCCAGAGTGAATTTTCATGTGTTTTGAAATATTACCTGATTGTCTTGCAACATATGAACACTCTGAACATTTCAAGGGTTTCTCTTCATTGTGAATCTTCATATGTACAGTAAGATTACCTGATTGTCTTGCAGTAAATGGACACTCTGAACATTTGAAGGGTTTCTCTTCAGAGTGAATAGTCATATGTATAGTAAGATGGCCTGCTTGTCTTGTAGCATATGAACACTCTGAACATTTGAAGGGTTTCTCTCCAGAGTGAATTCTTTGATGTCTACGAAGATCACTGGATCGTGATGAAGCAAACAAACACTCTGAACATTTGAAGGGTTTCTCACCCGAATGAATTCTTATTATATGTCTAGTAAGATTACCTGCTTGTCTGAAAGCCAACGAACAATCTGAACATTTGAAGGGTTTCTCTCCAAAGTGAATTTTCATATGTTTAGTGAGATTACTTGCTTGACTTGCAGCAAATGAACACACTGAACATTTAAAGGGTTTCTCTCCAGAGTGAATTCTCATATGTGTAGTAAGATTACCTGCTTGTCTAGTAGCAAACGAACACTCTGAACATTTGAAGCGTTTCTCTCCAGAGTGAATACCCATATGTCTAGTAAGGTCACTAGTTCTACTTGTAGCATATGAACACTCTGAACATTTGAAGGGTTTCACTGACAAACTCTCACTAGGAGACAGAACTAACGTTTTCTGAGGTTCTACTCCCGTCAAGTTATCTGCATTATCAAGGTTTTCAGGTACTTCTGTGCTGCTATGATCATGGTGCCGTTTAACATGTTCTGTTAACTGAGTGTCTGAGTAAATATGTTCAGCACAAACTGGACACATGAAAACAGATGGTTTACCTGATTCAGATTTTATTTCTTGTTTGATGAAACAATTTGATACTGATTTATGTTCTTTGATATGCTCAACAAAGAAGTCTTCTGAAAAGAAATGTGCTCCGCACATTGGGCAGAAGAAACCGTTGGATTTCTCTGAGATCTCCACTTGTTCTGATTTGATCTCTTGTTTAAAATCTTTAGACATTCTGGAATATCAGAATATTAGATAAATCATAATATCATAAGGATACAAGGATACAAGGATATAAAAACTTGATAATTATTAAATATTGAATTCACAATTGTTATAATTTTGAAATAATTTAATGTTCTTTGATCAATTGTGTTGTCCTTGTTTGGATGACTCAGCTGCACAGTTTTAACACACAGTTAATTGCAAACGGGTACAAAGCACATCAAGCGCATCCATTCAGTGGCGTAACTTTGCCTGTTGGCGCCCCCCCCCCCCCCCCCCCCCCCGCTCAGTAACGAAAAATGCCCCCCCCCCCCTAAGTAAAATTTTTTGTGTGCCTAAAAAAAAAAAAAGTTGGGTACTTTCCCCCCCCCCCTACAGCTTTTTGCGCCCCCTGAAGCAAAAAAGGGTACCTTAGTTCCCAAAAATTTGTGTGCCATTATATTGAGCACAATTTATTTGAGCCCGAAAAATTTGGGCAGAAAATTTGAACTCATTTGGGCGACCGAAAATTTGGGCACAAATTCTCCGAAAAATGAACGATTTTCCACTAAAATTTCAGTTAGATATTTGCCTTAGTTCATTATTATTCCTTATTATAACCCTTCGAGCAGAAAGCGCTACTGATATCAGATGTGTTTCGGGCCCAACACACACAGACACTAAAAGATCTGATGACAGCCAACAACTGCATCCTACAGAAAGTTCCAGCTACAGCCCCTGGACATATCTATTATCTATCAATGGACTGGCTAAGAAATTCATGCGCAATAAGTACGAAGATTGGTACGCGAAAAACATAGTGTGTCAGCTCAATGGAGGAGTTTCATCAGACAATGTGAAAATTGATACCCGCTTGACAGTGATCCGTGAAGTACACGCTCGTTGGATCAACGAACTTTTGTATATTTAAAAGGGAGGCCAGATGACATAAGGAAAGGCTTTGAGAAGTCGGGTATAACTGATACTTGTAGATCAGACTTTACGGTGGATAATAATCCATTTGCAGATCTTGTTTAAATCTCTAGCTATCCGTAACTCTAGCCATTTGTTTTATTAGTAGCTGTTAGCTATTCCAAATCCAGTTATTTCTATTCATTTAAAATATAAGCCTTTTTACTTGGTCAAGCCATGAATGACAGATTAGAAAACTAAAATTTCAAATATCATTTCACTTGGATATGAAGAAAAAGCCATCTTCCTATAGATTTCAGGGCCACAGGCCAAATGCCAAAAGTTTGGTTAACAAAAAATTTAGCAGACGGAAAAGATTTATGCAATTAATTTGGTCTGCAAAAAATTTGGGCGAGAGGCCCGCTCAAGTTTTTTGTCGCCCAAATTTTTGGGAATTAAGGTACCTCAAATATTTTTTTCGCATCCACTGAACGCTAAATTGGACAGGAAAATACACAAATTAGGCGTTTTTTCAGTGAAAGGGCCTAAAATTCAGGAAAATTGCGACCCCCTTCCACGGCGCCCCCCCCCCCCCCCCCCCCCACAGTAGGGTCTACGGGGCCCTAAGTTACGCCACTGCATCCATTACAGGTAATCTATGATTTGGTCGTCCAGGACACCTTGCAATCTGAACTATTGACTGCTATTGCTATCACACTGCAAGGCTGAGATCGTACACGTGTTGTGTCTTATTTCACCAATTTTATAAGTTTCCGTTTTTGTTTGCTGTCGCCTGTGACACATTACATACATGATGATGATGAAAATCTAAATATTATAGGCTACAATGAGCATTTTAGTAACAAATAGTATGAAAGATCTGAAAATTTTAAAAAATAAAATCCCTAAAAATATTTACACCCCAAGTTAACAAGAATTTCGCCGCGGTAACACCACGCACGATCAAATTTCCCTACTGCCTACAATGTTATTGTTCTACTTTATTGTATCCCAGAGTGGTGTTTGGCGCACGTGATAATCGTTTATAAATTATATTATATTAGGCGTGCAGAACTTGAAAAATTCTGCGCGCATCTGAGGTGTCGCCGTCGATCTGTATGTGGTTTGGTTGTAGATCATTTCATACTTTGCGCGGTTTTGTTTCGTGTTAATACACTATAATGTAATAGCAATAACGATGCGTATCATGTCACCGGTCACGTCATATTACTGCATCGTATGCCAACTTTATTGACTTGTGACTGTAATAAAATATTCTGCCTCGTCTTAGTTATTATTTTTATCTAATGTAAACTAATACATTTTGATGCTTACTCGACACATCTATACTTATAGCACCATCGATTTTCGAGCCTTTTATTTGATATACGATTCTTTAAAAGCATACCGCAATATTGATATTAGCTTCTTGAATGTAAATGTAAAGTAACATCTGTTCTCAACTATGTACTCCTATGCTTTTTACCATTCAGTGTCGATTAACTGTATAATAATCAGCCACGAGTTTATCAGCTGATATCATAATTTTATTTGTTTTGACTTGCTGAATTTTATCACTCGGTAATTAATTAAGCTTGTCTCATCAAAATAACACCTAAATTTATGATTGATCCGTGTGTAACAGTCGTCAAGCACCAAAAACTGGTTGCTATGACTGTAATTAATTAACACATAACTGGCGTCGCGCGCGCAAAATATACTCCTTTTATACACATAATTATAGGGGAGTGGTCTATATTACGAAGGAGCAGACTTTTGTCGACATCGTAGGACCGTCGGGCCACCTCATATATCCAAACCCGATTACTTATTCCCTACGATCTTTTTGCCTTCGGCAAGAGCAGGGAAAAAAATTTAAATACTTTATTTTAAAAACACTATATCAAATAAGGTGGTTGATCAGTCACTTGTGTCATTACGACGACGTCGTTATATCAAGTCAAAATATTCCCCAAAATAAGTTAAAGACGATTCCCGATCGAGAACGTTTTGGTAGAAAAAGTTTCTCGAGTTACATAAATATCATTGGAAATGCAATTTTATGGATAAAATCAATAAAGCTTACAAGTAAATCCCAAAACAAAGTAACACACCCAACAATGGTTGAGATGTGATACATCCAAGCAGTCTAAGTCCACAATTATATCATGAGCTAATCTAAAAGTAGCTCCAATGTTCATGTAACCAGACAGGTTCTACCAATCCAAAGAGTTAAGTAGGTTTCCATTCAGTCAGTAGTAAACAGTGTCTAGCACTGGTCGTCCTAAGAGGGACTCCCCATTTATTACAGGCCTGGGTAAGGCCGCGTACATACCAATGGATAGAGCATTGGCCGTCTAATATAGGGACTAGACTACCCAGCTAGGCGTGGGTGGGCCCTGTAGAAATACAAATCTTCCTTCTTAGCTTGAGGTCATCATTATTCACACATTCATACATTCACACATTCATACATGAGGCCCTGTGTGTAACTGTAACTGTAATGTACGTTAGAATAATTTAGTTCATTAATTAACTTTCAACTGTGGTATTGTATTATATGCAGTCATCAGCGAATATGGAATAGCCGTCAGCATTTGGGGAGAGGGCCATCCCCAAGCCACCTGAGTCCGTTGATTTAACACCCAACACAACTGCCAAACATGAGCTCCCACGAGCCGCCTCTGTAAGATAGTGATGTTTAAGATACTATTTTCTTTGAATAGATCGAATTTGTAGAGTTCGATCTTATTTTGAGGTCCTATAGCATTATGTACTGGCCAGTGTTTGAGAGGAAATCTGGGCTCTTGTAGTAAGCTGTCAATTGTTTGTTCAGAGAGAGTTCAATAAATTGCGGCCTTGTTAAAATAACGTCCCCCCCCCCTCAGGGAAAATTTTAAACAACGTAGATTATGACTTGTTTGAAAAGTATAATTTGGGGCCTATATAATAAAAGTGCACAGCTTTAACTTTGCGGACTTTTGTTTTCTGATTGGCTGAATTGTATTACAAGGTACGTGGTGCAATTGAATTGATTAAACAAACGTTGATAAAACAAAATTTAAATTTATTATTGACCATTTGCATTGTTTATGGTCAGACCCGACGCGCATTACTTTAAAACACTTGCCATCTGCGCGGGCCAAAAACAATATTTCGCTTCGCGAAAAGAAAGCGGCGCGCGCTATTTCGAAAAAATGTAGACGAATGTATTAACATCCGTCAAATCTATTAACAACTATTCAATCAAAACATATTATTAATTGACGATGTCAATTCATCGCAGCTCGGCGAGGCACAGTATAGCGCATTTCGCCGATCTAGCGTGAGAAACCTCATTGAGTGCGCGGCGCGGCACAGTAACGCATCGCGCTACAAAACATATTATAAATTTTAATATTTGAAACACGGTGCGAAATGGATGTATTAAACTTAAATTTTGTTGTCACTAATAATCTATTGACTTTTAAAGTAGAATTTTAGTCAAATATGAAATAAAACCACATCGAATAGTTTAGGTAAAATATTATTCTTAAATTTTAAAATTCAGACAAAAAGATTGCTTTATGACTTAAAATTTAAATTTTAGCAAAAGCTATTTAATTTTTTTAATTAAATAGTTCGTTACATGTTACAATTTATTTTGTATTTCTATTTGAAAATTCAATTAATTATGATATATAAATCAAGCGGTATATATTTTTGTATCACGTGGTGACCCCCACTGTCGCTTCACCCTGTAGAGTTTCAACGATACAAGGGGGAGCCGCGCACTCGTGCGCGGCGGGTCATACAACGTATGACAAGTACATTTTAGCCATGAAAAATTAAAATGGCATAATTTGATATACTAATTGATAAATGGTACTGCAATATAAGTTGCTTAATGTTTGGCCGGATGACAACTAACTAAAAGACAAAAAAACTTGATTACATAATAATTAATTCGGCTGAACCAACTCATAGTAAAAATAAAACTAACCTCGTACCAGTACAGACCGCAGGAGCCCTGGTAGCACTTAGTACAAGACTACCAGGGCATTGGGAATAAAGAAGAAACAATTTCCACCTCCACAACCTGTCATCTAACTCATCCATCACACCTAACCCAGGACAGCGGGTATTTTTCTCTTAGGTAGATATTAATAAGAATTTGGTAAATTTCTTAAATGCATGACTATTTCCATTATTGAGACGTTTTTAATATTTAATTCAGGAAGGTTTTTAAGATTTTTATAGGAATGGTTCAGAGTGTGAACAGATTACAGATTTATATATTTTTAAACTGATATTCAATAAATGATTAAAAGAACCAATTTTAAAAGTTGCCAAAAATATACTCATTATGCTCACTTAAAAACAACTCTAAATCAGTAGGCTGTCACTCTATTAATGCACCACACCGCGCCACTACCTCCACTGCACTAATAGCTATACAATAAATTCTGCAATACTAATTTTGTATCGTTATGGAGACCGGTGTCCATACAAAACATTTACTAGGTTGCCGTTTGGTGTGAGCAATAGCGAACAGCACGCACACTCCTTTGCCCCGTCAACCTATATCTAATCCATTCAAAGAGTGACAACCATATTACACATTGAATTAGGATTCCTTTAAATATCAAATTGATTTATTGTAAACTTGTTAACTCAGTAATAAATAAAATTGAAATTTTTGTTTAACTGAATCTTTGTTTAACTGTATTCCAAGTACTGTCCCACTTCTAGACTCTGAACATGCGCAGCTAACCACTTTCCGCTTCCTAGGATAAGTCATCACTATGAACGAAGTGGAAGCATTTAGAGACTTTCTAACGAACTACAACAAGTGTTCAGAGCTCTGCTTTAATAGCTGCATCAATGACATGACCTCTCGGGAGATAAGCGAAAAAGAAGATAAATGTACCACTAATTGTTCAGACAAATTCCTGGCAATTAATGCACGCTTGCTAACCAGGGTGCAGGAATATAACGTTTTAAATGCTGAAAAGGCAAATAAATAGTAATGTCCAGGATTGTTTTTAAACCTTAAATTATTTTTGTCATACTGTATTTTGATTGGGTTACTTTTTGAAAGACGATTATTTTATGTAAATTGTGTTTTACTTCCTTTAACCTTAAATAATCGTGTCAGTGTTGCCAATCTGGGTAAAATACTGGTTTGTGATCGTTCTTAGAACCAATTTACTATGAATGTATAGTGTATACAACTATGGATGTGATGAATTCTGGGAATTGTTCCCCACATTATTGTAATAATCAACAAACCTTAGATCAATATTAAATGGCGCAGCAACAAGTGCTAAGACTTGGTCTCGGCCTGAACATCCAGCGGTCAGATGGTCGCATCCATTCGGCAGTAGTTAGCGGTCTGAATGAAGCTCAGCAGAGCATCACTGTGGAGTGGTTTGAGGGAGGTGAAACTAAGGGGAAGGAGGTAAGATGTTTATTAGTTAGTTTTAGTTAGTTTAGTCAGTTACTTTAGAATTACTTTAGTCAGTTACGTACTTGCGTTACTTTACTTAATTTAGTCAGTTAGTTTATTTAGTTTAGTTATTTTAGTTACTTTAGTTACTTTAGTTACTTTAGTTACTTTAGTTACTTTAGTTACTTTAGTTACTTTAGTTACTTTAGTTACTTAGTTACTTTACTCTTAGTTACTTTGGCTACTTTAGTTACTTTAGTCAGTTACCTGAAAGTCTGATTCTAATTCCTTTTTCCTCCGACAACACTAAAGATTAGATAATTAGATAATTAATTAGCTAATTATATAATTAGATAATTAATTAGATAATTGTGTTACAGTACTCTCATACAGTGCAGTTATTAGGTATCAAATTGATTACAATTTATTTAAAATTCTATATTTCAGGTAGAAGTTGAGACGGTACTGGCCCTGAATGAGAACATGCTGCCTCCGTCTGATTGGGCAGGTTTTGAACAGTACCAGCCCCCAAAACCAGCACCGCCAGTTCAACCTCCTGCTCAGAGTAGAAGTATTTAGTTTTATTATTATTATTTTATTCAATAGTATTAGTTTTTACTGTTACTACTAGTAGTAGGAGTATGTCATTTTGTTTTATTATCATTATTTAATTTAATAGTATTAGTTTTTACTGTTACTACTAGTAGTAGGAGCATGTCATTTTGTTTTATTATTATTATTTAATTTAATAGTATTAGTTATGTTACTACTAGGGGTAGTAGAGGAGATCTACTAGTAACTACTAGTAGTAGTAGAGGAAATCTTTGCATTTAATATTGGGTTTCATTTTTGTAAAATAGGGGGACGAAAAAAAATCCCCAAATTATACCATAATTGATTAGGAACAAATTCCCATATTTTCGTTCCGAAATCATTTAGGTCACCGGAATTATGTCGAACATAAATTCGTCTCGTAAGGTAGGTTAAGATTAAAGATAGCTAGAAAACATTGATACATGATTAGATTGATTACGTACTAGTCATTAACGAGTCATGCAGTGCAAATAACACAAAAACTGGGAATGTTGACATTATACATAGTAACTTTGTTACTTGCAGTTAAAGTTGCAAGACAAAACACGTTAACTGCAGAGATTGTTGTAGAAATTCAACCCGTGAACACTAGTAAGCTGAAAAGTTGACTTAATTAAAATTTTGGAGATCTTGGCAGCAGTTTTTATAGACTTTGATTATCATCTAACTTAATCTTAAGATTAAGTTTTGTATTAGATTCTGTTTGATTACTTTATCTATTTGAGTACACCAAATGCCAATAAATAAAATGGTCAAATAAAACCTCTAGTCGCTGTACAATAAAGTATCTATATTTATCGACAGCCCCGTTTTCATTTACAATTTATGTATATCTGGGCCACATCATAACAGCAGATTTACTTAATAACCCTAATAGAAAGGTCATTATTGACCCTAGAAAGGTTATTATTGACCCTAGAAAGGTTATTATTGACCCTAGAAAGGTCATTATTGACTCTCAGATCAAAATTGATTTATTTGTTTTAGATTAATAACATTACTGGGTATTTTAATTTGTATGCTTGCATTCTATAATGTGAATACCACGCTTTTCCTAATAAAGCACAGAAAATGTTTCAGTTCCGTTAGCTCAGAAACAGAATTTCCCAGCCCAAACACCAGCGGATCCTTGTAAGTACTTTCACTTTCACTTTCACTTTTGTAAGTACACCTGCAGCTGATCCTTGTAAGTACTTTCACTTTCACTTTCACTTTTGTAAGCACACCTGCAGATCCTTGTAAGTACTTTCGCAACACTATTATCGTAATTACCTATTACTGGAAATGTAATATGATAATTACATAGTTACATAATATGATAATTACATAATATGATAATAAGATAATTACATAATATGATAATAAGATAATTACATAATATGATAATATGATAATTACATAATATGATAATAAGATAATTACATAATAATATGATAATAACATGCTACACACGAATGTGTGCTGTCTTTACTGCATGATATCCGCATAATAATTGCAGTTGTAATAATGTTACAGTGCTGTATATTATATAGTTATAATATAGTTGGTAATATTCTTGTAATTGTAGTATTATGAGTTACACGTGATAGTGTCATGATATAACGCATGCGAGACATTAAACTGTGGACACTGTGATACTACAATACTGTATTACTTGTTACAAACAAATCTCATGATTTTAACGTGATCCATTATAAATAACATTCTCGAATGGTTTTAGTTTGATTCAAAAACCAAAATTGAGGCCATCCTTTTTAAGCCCTTAAAATTATTTCAACCGTCTTTCTATTCAGCAAAAAGAAAGTCGCAGTGTGTTAAGGAAATTGACAAGATAAAGAAAAATCGCGAGGAAAGAAGGTATGGTGAAAATTAAAAGTAGCTTATTGAAGTTATTTTGGAGTAATTCTAAGTAATGAGAGGTATTTTCCTTTCTTATTTTATTTTTTTCAAATAAAGAAATGTAAAGTGGATGTAAGAAAAATCAAAAATCAAATCATGTGATCTGATTGGCAGAGCACAGCGCACAGGTAACGAATATTCTACATTGCTACCTAAGATATTTTCATTCTGCAAACTCGAACTTAAAAAGTTTGTTGGTCCTGTAATGTTTGTAGGTCCTGTCATGTTTGTAGGTCCTGTCATGTCTGTAGGTCCTGTCATGTTTGTAGGTCCTGTCATGTTTGTATGTCCTGTAATGTTTGTAGTCCTGTCATGTTTGTAGGTCCTGTCATGTTTGTATGTCCTGTCATGTTTGTAGGTCCTGTAATATCTGTAGGTCCTGTAATGTTTGGTTCTGATTACACAATACCGGTCATTCCTCTGATTAGCTAACTGTTAAAGTGATCTAACTTGTACTAAGTACTACTATACGTTTTCTCACATTCCTAAACACTACTATACAAATAATTTGAGATCATGAATACGGTGTTGTCACATTGAAACGTTGAATAATTCCATTCCTGATAAGAGCCTTTTCCTTGTCGCATCAAACGGGACAATATAAATTTACCCAAGAAAACATTCCAAAATAATCACAACGTTGTCATCCGAGCTTGAGTGAGGCTTCTGTAAAGCTGTAATATCCGGGCTAATCTTACAACCGTGTAATAAGTTGGATAGTCAGTAATCTTACAACTATTCTTCCATTGTTAGGTTTAATTAGATAGGCTACATAAATAACTTACCTTTTGTGCAACTTTCTTTAAAGACATGTTTACGCAATATGTAATGAATTTAGGAATTTAGGAAATACTATTATGACAACATACCAAGCTTGGTTTGGCCAAGCCACTATTGACCTGATATGTAAGGAATTTAGGAATGTACTATTATGACTACATACCAAGCCACTAATTATTGAACAAATGGCATCCTGGAATTATCCTGGTTCTTTACCAGAGTTACAGCACATGGTTAGTACAGGTGCATCACGTGATTACTAGGTTAGAAGGTGGAATCAAGTCATTAGTCATCAAGCCAAATATAAACATAGTTAATCTAGTTCTCTCTCTCTCTCTCTCTGCGGCTTCATCCTCAATTCACAGTATTACTCACTTCATGGCATTCTTTACAGTATCAAGTGGCATGTAGTAGCTAGATATCATAGTGTAGTTGCTAGATATCATAGTGTAGTTGCTAGGTAGTGTATTGTAGCGTAGTGGCGAGATATTATCACCTAGCGACGAGAACTCGTACATTACAGAGTGCAAATGTAAGAAGTGTAGAGTATTATCAGGGACATGTCGTGTAGTGTTAATATCGCACTGTATTACATGTCACAACAATTACCTGATTCCTCTAGGAACAATTTGAACAATTTAAACAATTCGAGTAATCAGTATTACTATTACAATAATTGTTTTGTTTCTACCTAAATATGAGCCTAACTTAATTCTATTCAGGAGGTTCTCTAAAGATGATTTTTAATTCGAAGATTTCAAGAGCCTAAACTGTGTATGATTCGCCTCTCCAAACAAATCTAAAATTACAATAATTATCACTATTAGAAGAAGTTGTCAGTTTAAGTTAAGTTGGATCTATAGAAGATGATAAGAGAAGAGCAGCCCCTGTTATCTTCTGTGTCACGTGGTGTGTCACGTGGTGTGTCACGTGGTGTGTCACGTGGTGTGTCACGTGGTGTGTCACGTGGTGTGTCACGTGGTATAGCACGTGGTGTGTCACGTGGTATATCACGTGGTGTGTCACGTGGTATATCACGTGGTGTGTCACGTGGTATATCACGTGGTGTGTCACGTGGTGTGTCACGTGGTGTGACACGTGGTGTAGCACGTGGTGTGCCACGTGGTGTGTCACGTGGTGTGACACGTGGTGTGTCACGTGGTGTGTCACGTGGTGTAACACGTGGTGTGTTTTAATACCTATTTTAGGCTGAGTGCAGTTGTCAGATACAGTTTTAAAACACTCGCAGAAATAAGAATCACACTTTAAACTTTTAAACCTCCGTAATTTGGGATTCTATGTGTATTTTAATGTTCATTTCACACTACTGAGTTCAAGTATCACTGAATAGTAGAGTTTTAAATATCATTTACTATTTCGGTAAATAACGATGCCTTTACGGTAGTTTTACCTTTCAACTACATTACTGTAATCACTTAATAAGTCAGCTAATCCCTTTAATTTACTTGTAATACAAGCTGTATTACAAGTTGTATGATGTAATTATAACTGGATTCTGAAGGAAACTACTTGTTTTGGGGCCGGTTGGGGTCGGTGGTTACCATGGTTACATTCCAATGGGGGAAATGCATTCCTCCAGTCCGGGCAGTGCGCCTACTAACCATTCATTGAGTGTACATTGTATTTATTTACTGTACACTAAAGTATGTAAGCACTATTTAGTAGGTAATTATTAGACAGATATCTAGTGTACTCTTAAATACCTCCCGTACCTTGTACAGTGAGTCCGGTATGTACAGTTGTCAGGGTCCTGAACAGCAGCCCGGCATTCTTTACATGTAATAGTTGTATATATATATATACAGTATATAGTAATCTAAAATTGGATATTAAGAGAACTGTTGTGACAATCAATGGATATAATTTTTAATAAAATGTCTATTTTTTAGACTTTAAACCATTTGCTCTTACTTATAACTCTCTGCTACTCAAAGATCAATAGCACACGGCTTGATCGAATGTAGTGGTAGTTACAAATGACATTCGATACCTTAAATCTATCTACGGATAGGTCACCACAATGTAGCGTACTAACATTAACTACTACTTCTAGGTTGCTCCTTCGTAAACAAAAATGCTACAAGTTTTAGAATGCTACAAGTTCTACACACTTTATTATAATTTATAGTCCTCACTCACAGTTATAATTGATAGAGTAATTAAGTGTAAGCTCGACTGATATGAGGCAAACAATGTTTTCTAACAACACACCCTCCTTCTTATCTGGAGATCCTATTTGTTCGACTAGATTGTTGGTTAAACTCGCTAAAATACAATAGTGGCTCTCATTAAATTATTTTCTGGTTTTGCTACTGAGAGTTTTTCTACTGAGAGTTTTGCTACTGAGAGTTTTGCTACTGAGAGTTTTGTTACTGAGAGCTTTGCTACTGAGAGTTTTGCTACTGAGAGTTTTGTTACTGAGAGTTTTGCTACTGAGAGTTGCAACAATTGCTTTCAGGCCGAGTATGGCGAAAAAACCTGTACGCAGGAAAAGTAGTGCAAGTCAAGCGTAAGCTGAAGCAAAACAGCAGTTTTGAAAACTTTGATTCTCCTCAATTGAGAATTGTCTTCTCTACTCCTCTTCTCTTTGGATAAACGATTGAGATTAATTGGTTCGATGCCAGCATGTAATGGATCGATTTCTACATTTAACATTTATTTATTAACTTTTATTAATATTAATACTATCAACCGAGTCTGTAGATACTAGAACTGAACCTGCTTATAAAATATTAATAAATTATATATAGGGATATTTATCATATAACTGAACCATCTTCATTAGACTGAAATTCGATACTTTAAATGGACTGCATGAATATACTACCCCGTTTATAATAGCATTAAAGTAGTCACCAGAGCATTACTGATTATTTCTCATCATAACTATCGTAAGTTACACGCGATATTGTAACTATTGTAACTATTGTAAACCTTATCAGGTGTTACTGTAGACACTACACACTACTTTTTAAGAAGAACTCCATATTTTCAGACAGCGTGTAAATCAGAATAATGGAGGCGGTGACATTGACCCTTCAAATCCTAACTGGGAGTTTGCTCAGATGATAGAGTCAGTTTAAATTAATTATTTGATGATTTTTGTCAACTTATTGGTACCCTTGAAGGATTTTTAAGGGTGGATTAAAAAAGTTTTCCCACAAAATCATCATTTAAATGTGACATGCCTTTGTAACGTTACTAACAACACACACAATACAGGGACTACAGACATGAGCTGGATGCTTCACCAGTTTCCTTCGCTAACCAAATAGTCAGAGATCACAGGATTTGTGTCTGTGTCAGGAAACGTCCTATTAACAAGAAAGGTGGGTAGGAAAACCTTAACCTGGTAACCTTGTTGCCTGGTAACCTTGTTGCCTGGTAACCTGTTACCTGGTAACCTTTTTGCCTGCACAAGAGCATTTCTAATTGCACATCCACATTTTTTGTAAACAAACTGATATGTATCCTATCTGCACAGAATGTTGTCTGCACACTAAACACAGTCAACTCATACTCTCTATACTGCTCATTATATGTGGTTATGTGGTTTATCTGTGTTAACCACAATGTCACGTGTTTGGTGTGTATAAAGTTTAAAACTGGATTATGCGAGAACGAAATTAAATTACACTGGAAAAGAGTGCGAATTAAAGAACTTGTTCCAGTAAAGTCTAGACAGTTGCTAAGAAATTTGTTGTATAAATTAGGTGCTAAACATTAAACTGTGTCCACAGAGAAGAAAGCAAAGACAGTTGACGTGGTCACGTTACCATCACTCGAATCCATGACTGTAAGTATCTTATGTAATTTCCTGATTCCTTGTGAGTAATGCAATGCTTTGTAAGGATTTGTTAATATACTGCGATAAGCTATGTGACATTACAAAATGTTGTGGTTTTTCTCTCTTAGCAGATGCTAATTATTGTTGGGTTATAAGTTTCTGCCTAATTGGTTTGGTGCCCAGAATGTTTTGGGATGAGAGCAACCAGTGAACAATGAACCAACGATTAAAGTTAGGTCGATAAAAATGTAATTACTCGAGACGACATTTAAACCGAGATTTAAGAGTGTTATTATTATTTATTCGTTACTTACACTGTTTCATCACAGTGTCAAAAATGAGACAAGCTAAGTAATTTACCGCGCTTTTTGAAAATTATCCAACATTTTGTAACGCGCTTTGCTAAAGTTGTAAACAAAGTTTACTGACTTTTCATCCAGTGTGCAGCGCGCACGACCGTTTTTATCGGTACTGTCGTGAAAATGTTTACTCACTAGGGGCAACGGACGATTACCTTACCAATGCTCTATTTATAAATCTAGGTTCATCAAACTTCGACGGTCAATCTCAGTTGTAAACATAGATCTGAGAAAATGGCTAGTCCCCTTAGCTTAAAAGATCCAATTTAAATAATTTCTCACTTCAGGTTCACGAACCGAAGCTCAAAGTGGATTTGACGAAGTTCTTGGAAAACCACAACTTCCATTTTGACTATACATTTGACGAGAATATTGACAATGCCACAGTCTACAAGTTCACTGCCCAGCCGATTATCAGAACCATATTCGACGGAGGGTTTGCCACCTGCTTCGCGTACGGACAGACAGGATCCGGTAAAACCCACACGATGGGAGGAGATTTCACTGGAAAAGAGCAAGATTTCTCAGCTGGTATCTACGCCATGGCAGCCCGAGATGTGTTCGACTTGTTGAGGAGCACACACTACAGTCAGCTAGATCTGAAAGTGAGCTGCAGCTTCTTTGAGATATACGGTGGTAAGGTGTATGATCTGTTAGCAAAACGAGCAAAGAGGCGTGTACTGGAGGACGGTAAAAGTGTTGTCAATGTGGTGGATCTGAAGGAGACTCCAGTCCTCTCTGTCAACAGTGTTCTGAACGCTATCAAGGACGGTAGTGCTGTCAGGACCTCCGGACAGACCAGCGCCAACGCACATTCTTCAAGATCTCACGCAGTGTTCCAGATCATTCTGAGGACCACACGAGGGAAGCTCCACGGGAAGTTCTCTCTGATTGATTTAGCGGGAAATGAAAGAGGCGCTGATACGAGTAGTGCTAACCGGGCTACTCGACTGGAAGGTTCGTAGTTTCTCTTATCTTTAGTGTTTCCAGCTACTGTTATCTTCTTATTTTCCTGGTTCAATGCTCTGTATTCTACCACTTTACATCTGTGCAACTGTTCCCTTCACTATGATAACTTGTGCGCTTCTAACTCGCTAATTGCACTAACAACCACTACAGCACTGGTTATTTCTAACTAATCTACAAACGTGCAAATATCCCAGGAGCTGAGATCAACAAGTCACTGCTAGCGCTGAAAGAATGTATCAGAGCTATGTCCATGAAGGCGATGCACATTCCTTTTAGAGCCAGCAAACTGACCCAGGTACAATAATGTATTCGATAATATTTAATAAGATTGTATTTGATAAATTACTAATGTTGGTGGGGAAATATCTATATATTTCTTCATATAGTGTGATGATACTTGGTAGACATGAGGGATGATATGATGTCATAATTTTTACTTACTTACCAATTCAGGTATTGCGAGATTCCTTCATCGGTGAGAAAGCTCGAACGTGTATGATAGCGACTTGTGCGCCCGGGCAGAATAGTGTTGAGTGCACGCTAAACACTCTCCGATACGCTGACAGGGTCAAAGAGCTGGGTAAGTCGGGAAACTTAGAACATTCTCTTATTTTATTTTGCTAAATGAATGTGAATGTAATCACCGAATTTTCTCAGACACAGTCCACAGAGGTATTGATCAGATATCGAATTTACTCCAACTCTGAACAGATAGCTTATCCCCCATGATTTGATTTGATTTGATTTGAATTTTTTACAAATAGTACACATACAATACAGCAATGAGAATGGAAATATTCGACATCATTAGGCATTATATCGGGTGAAAGTTGTAGACCATATTCATTATATTACCTAGTAACCAACTCTATTGTAACTATGGTAACTAGTGGTGTAACTAACTAACCAACTCTACTGCTACCAGGACCTGGATCCAAACCGGGTAAACCAGCCCCACCACTACCTGACATAGAAAACAACGACAACGACCTGGCCTACATGCACCAGAGTCTGAGAAGTCAAGGTATAAACTGTGGTGAGTTGTGGGAGAGAGTGTGAGGGTGAATTTAGTGACGCTCAAATTGTTAATCAATAATTGTTTAATGTTAATAATGAATATTGTTTCCTTTATAAAAGGTACCGTCAATAATAATTTCCTGTCCCCCTCTAACCCGTCCTGTGAGTACAAGCTTTAATGACTCTACAAAATCTACACACTCCATAATCTACACACTCTACACACTCTACAAAATGTAATAAATATCTCTCACAATCCACCGGTTGTAGTGAGTTCTCTCCCGCTCAATGACTTTTGGGATCCTTTCAGTTGTATCAGAAGACCTTCATAAGTCTAATGATATTAACTGAAGGCCTTTGAAAACCATCATTACCTTCTCTAAATTTCGCTACATTTCACTAAATTTCACTAAATTTCACTAAATTTCACTACAGATTTCACTACAGATTTCACAACTCAAGTTTCTTCGGTGTTTCCTTTCCTTGGGATCCTGCTTCAAAAACTATCCGAAACTTTTGATCCAGCTCTTTACAATAACTGTCTCCAGAAATTGGTGTAATTTAATGAGTTCAATATAAAGCTCTCCTGTGATAGCTCAACACCACAGTTCCGTGTATCTATTTGTTACGGTTTTAATATTATCACACGGCACACTTTAGTATGGAATTTACATTGTTATTCAAATACCCAATTTATCCATATTAAATTTTCATCATCACGTGATGCCCATATAAGGAGTGTATACTACACGTGATGCCCATATAAGGAGTGTATACTCCTCCTTATCTCATGAACTAGTTTATATAATAAATAATGAATTACAGGTGAGGAGGAAGAGGACCCCGAGATGTACAACTTTCACCAAGCAGTGGACATGTTGCAGGAGGCTCAGGACATGTTGGTTGACGAGCATCAGCAGTGCATATCAGTAAGTGTGTTGACGTGACGTCACTTGTTGTCGTGACGTCATTTGTTGTAGTGACGTCACTTGTTGTCGTGACGTCACTTGTTGTAGTGACGTCACTTGTTGTAGTGACGTCATTTGTTAGCGTGACGTCACTTGTTGACGTGACGTCATTTGTTGACGTGACGTCACTTGTCGACGTGACGTCACTTGTTGACGTGACGTCACTTGTTGACGTGACGTCACTTGTTGACGTGACGTCACTTGTTGACGTGACGTCACTTGTTGTGTTTTTTAGATATGACAAGGCTCTAGAATTCCCGCTCGTTTTACAATTTTAGTAACTTATTAATGACAACCAACTGCAGGAAAATAAAGAGTATCTGAAGCAGGAGGAGCAGATCTTACAACGAGTAGATCAAGATGTAGACTATGACATTGAAGGTAATTATCACTTTCACTTTCCTTTCTTTGTTTTACAGTTAGGGTAAAAATGATAGGCCCACAGTGAAATTAGAACTGGAATGAGTTAGTTCGAGCAATTTTGAGCTTCTGATTGGAGGACGGCAACTCAAACTATACTGTACTTTATAATTGTTGTTCACATTGAACTTAAGTGTCTAAATTCCAAGTATACGATCCCCTGAATCCTGCATTGTTAACATTTTAAAACTGAACCCTGTGTCGTCATCCGAACTTTAAAACACTCTTTTAAAAGCAGTATTTTTATCGAATACCAAACTTGGTATCGTCTTATCATGCAACAGAATGCATTTTTCATATCAATAACCTCCTCCACCCCAATAACACCTCCTTAATAACACCCTAACGTCCTTCTTAACTCCCTTACACCCCCCAGATTACGCAAGGGCCCTGGACGTCATTCTCCAAAGAAAGATAAACCGTCTGAAGACAATGCAGGATAAGCTGAACAAGGTGCGAAGTACTCTCAACAAGGAAGAGGAAGTCAGCAAAACCCTCCGCAGACCCGCCAAGAAGCGCTAGTTGATAAACTAATCAATTAATTAATTAATTAATTGCTCAAAGAACAACTAAAATATTAGCCTCGGTTTAACTTTAGAGGTCCACTTTATCAAAGTAAGAGACAGTAGCTTATGTACAAGTCGCTGGCTGACTGATTGGTGGTATGCAGCTTCAGGAGTAGGATAAGCAATAAGTTGTCCTCATGATGATTTGTCTCACGTCGCGATACTTCGTTGCTATTCGCGCGAAGTGGCCGTGTGCGCACTTGTGCGCGGCAGGCCCACACCGTGAGACAAATGATGCTCGCTTACATTTCTAGATCGTCCTCTAGAACGAACCCTGAAGTCGATTAGAATTCTGTGAACTAAATATATTATATTGCATTGGTTACTTAAATGTGTTGCAATGTTTTTCTTTTTTTCTTAATTTACAAAATTGTACCGTTACCGTTACATCGCCCGTTAAAATTTAGACTATGACTATGAGCTTTCAATGAGCCCAATCTGTATATATTTGGGTTACAATATATTAAATTCATTTTCTAAAAGTAGTTAACCGGTCCTGAACTCCAGTTACCACATATCATTATGATGGTAACTTTATTTAGAGTATTTCTCTCAATTCTTTGTGTTATTATCCTAGACCGGTGGGTTTCACACTTAAAAGCGAAGACTTTTTACAGACTGTGTTGATAGGATGATAATTAATCACTCTACACTCGATTGTCACGTGACTTTTTAACCAGTTCTATAGTTGGCCCTGAACGACTATTCGAAACCCTAACCCTCTTATCTGATCCCAACCCTAACCCTAACCCAATCCCTAACAAAAGCATATGCTGAAACCCTAACCCTAATGAGAAATTCGACCAACTTCCTTATATGGTCATATCACGTGATCGAGACACTTTTTCGCCAATATCTCGTCGGGGGAGCATTTTATCCCTATGACTTGGGGGTGATTTGGAATCAGCGTCCGAAAACACATCGATTTCAGTTGGTTTCAACTGTCGGGGGCCCTTTTAGAAAAATCTCGAAGATCGACTGTAGAGTGATTTAGCACGCTCGGCGCGGTGTTGATAAGAGTTATTGAGAATTTCCGGTTCTACCACACCTTCAAAAGTTACTTATCTTTAACGTTTATACTTGTCAAGATTTATGAACGTTCATTAATTAATATATTTATATTTGCAACCGAATTTCGTATAATTAGTATTATTTTGCTGATGAAAATTGTCACTTTATTTATATTAGTTTCACGAAATGTATGCCTCATTATTTTAACCCTTTATAGTTCTACTTATAGAATTAAAAATTTTGTAAATTGGGAGATAAGGCTCGGCTGCACTTTATAACCTTTACGGCACATTACCTTTATTCTCAGTAACTAACAGGAATTCATTCTTTAATTTATAACTGAGGTTTTAGTAAGGGGGTTCAGTAACTGTTTTAGTAAGTGAAGTTCACGTAATATGTGAACGACCCCTAACGACCCCTAATAGTATTGCTTTAAAAATGAACTGTTGACGCTGAGCTTACAATTTATGTTAACCGGGTTCCATCAGGTGTATGGTATGAGGTATACTAAACCTATTTCGGTTAAAAGTGGTTCGTTTCATTCTGCCGCCATCATCATATTCATTGTAATACTATTTCCAGTAAAATAATACACATACTACGACTAGACTATACAATAAAACGGTTGGTCCAACTACCTGCGGATCCTACTGTATCTGTCGAAGAACAACTCCTTATATGGGCATCACGTGATGAAGAACAACTCCTGGCTGGTATATTTTATACTTGTGGGTTTGTTCGCTCAGAGTTCAGCGTGTTAAGTGGACTAAGCGTTTGTTTTGCGCCTCCGATCTCAAAGTAAACCGTCATATCTCTTTATTCCAAGGAACCTGACTTGTTTACTGAATAAAGCATGACGTGTGATGTCGTCACACTCCTTATATGGGCATCACGTGATGTCGACAACATGGGCACCGTTCTTCATTAACTATTCACTAACTTTAACTGGAATAATTATTCACAATACTTATCCGTAATTATGCCTCGAGTATTTAATAACACCAAGTTAAGTTTCGGGGGAACCCTTGCACGGACCGGCTCTTCCAACAAAAGTAGCAGACATCAACTAGACATACCCCGACTCCGACCAGACATCAACCACAACTAAGTGTATTATCCCTTAGTGTCTGACCTAGGCATTACAACCAGGCTGAACGGTCCAGGGTCGATTGAGACTACTACTTGTTATCAATAAGCCTAGCACGGCGTATCTAATCGTTCGACTAGTCGTTAATAAATTATCAAACTTCCACGTAATTTACCATGAGTTAGCGTGAGCATTGAGTACTAGTTACTAAGTATTTACTGCATGATGAGATAGCCGAGAAGCTGCAAGGGGGGGGGGGGGGGGGGGGGTTGACGGCGAGTTATGCTTTGTCAAAGTGGATGCTTTTTAAAATGAAACCGAAAGTCTTTAAACTGCGCATTGTGTTGGTTTTATGTATAAGTATCGAGTCGCATGACTTGTGACGAAATACCCAATTAGAGTTAGTACATGCCAAACACAAGGATATCTCGTGTCACAGATCATATGCACCTGTTGCAGCCAGTCGCAGACCTTGGTCGCTATAATTGAGCTCTAAGTGACGTTAAGTGACCGGTGAGCCACACTTCTTGACAAATTTTGTTTAGAATAACGACCCAATCATAAGGTAAAAAGTGTAAGCTGTATTTTAAGGGCTAATCTCAGTCCATCTAAGTCGTAAGTTTGGAGGAATAATACGGCTAATTTTGCGATTCTTTAAAGTCTTGAACCAAAATACCCTGCTGCGCCGTCAACTGATATATGTGAACGACCCCTAATAGTATTGCTTTAAAAATGAACTGTTGACTCTGAGCTTACAATTTATGTTAACCGGGTTCCATCAGGTGTATGGTATGAGGTATACTAAACCTATTTCGGTTAAAAGTGGTTCGTTTCATTCTGCCGCCATCATCATTGTAATACCATTTCCAGTGAAATGATACACATAATACGACTAGACTATACAATAAAACGGTTGGTCCAACTACCTGCGGATCCTACTGTATCTGTCGAAGAACAACTCCTTATATGGGCATCACGTGATGAAGAACAACTCCTGGCTGGTATATTTTATACTTGTGGGTTTGTTCGCTCAGAGTTCAGCGTGTTAAGTGTACTAAGCGTTTGTCTCAAAGTAAACCGTCATATCTCTTTATTCCAAGGAACCTAACTTGTTTACTGAATAAAGCATGACGTGTGATGTCGTCACACTCCTTATATGGGCATCACGTGATGTCGACAACATGGGCACCGTTCTTCATTAACTATTCACTAACTTTAACTGGAATAATTATTCACAATACTTATCCGTAATTATGCCTCAAGTATTTAATAACACCAAGTTAAGTTTCGGGGGAACCCTTGCACGGACCGGCTCTTCCAACAAAAGTAGCAGACATCAACTAGACATACCCCGACTCCGACCAGACATCAACCACAACTAAGTGTATTATCCCTTAGTGTTTGACCTAGCCATTACAACCAGGCTGAATGGTCCAGGGTCGATTGAGACTACTACTTGTTATCAATAAGCCTAGCACGGCGTATCTAATCGTTCGACTAGTCGTTAATAAATTATCAAACTTCCACGTAATTTACCATGAGTTAGCGTGAGCATTGAGTACTAGTTACTAAGTATTTACTGCATGATGAGATAGCCGAGAAGCTGCAAGGGGGGGGGGGGGGGGGGGGGGTTGACGGCGAGTTATGCTTTGTCAAAGTGGATGCTTTTTAAAATGAAACCGAAAGTCTTTAAACTGCGCATTGTGTTGGTTTTATGTATAAGTATCGAGTCGCATGACTTGTGACGAAATACCCAATTAGAGTTAGTACATGCCAAACACAAGGATATCTCGTGTCACAGATCATATGCACCTGTTGCAGCCAGTCGCAGACCTTGGTCGCTATAATTGAGCTCTAAGTGACGTTAAGTGACCGGTGAGCCACACTTCTTGACAAATTTTGTTTAGAATAACGACCCAATCATAAGGTAAAAAGTGTAAGCTGTATTTTAAGGGCTAATCTCAGTCCATCTAAGTCGTAAGTTTGGAGGAATAATACGGCTAATTTTGCGATTCTTTAAAGTCTTGAACCAAAATACCCTGCTGCGCCGTCAACTGATATATGTGAACGACCCCTAATAGTATTGCTTTAAAAATGAACTGTTGACTCTGAGCTTACAATTTATGTTAACCGGGTTCCATCAGGTGTATGGTATGAGGTATACTAAACCTATTTCGGTTAAAAGTGGTTCGTTTCATTCTGCCGCCATCATCATTGTAATACCATTTCCAGTGAAATGATACACATAATACGACTAGACTATACAATAAAACGGTTGGTCCAACTACCTGCGGATCCTACTGTATCTGTCGAAGAACAACTCCTTATATGGGCATCACGTGATGAAGAACAACTCCTGGCTGGTATATTTTATACTTGTGGGTTTGTTCGCTCAGAGTTCAGCGTGTTAAGTGGACTAAGCGCTTCCAATCTCAAAGTAAACCGTCATATCTCTTTATTCCAAGGAACCAAACTTGTTTACTGAATAAAGCATGACGTGTGATGTCGTCACACTCCTTATATGGGCATCACGTGATGTCGACAACATGGGCACCGTTCTTCATTAACTATTCACTAACTTTAACTGGAATAATTATTCACAATACTTATCCGTAATTATGCCTCAAGTATTTAATAACACCAAGTTAAGTTTCGGGGGAACCCTTGCACGGACCGGCTCTTCCAACAAAAGTAGCAGACATCAACTAGACATACCCCGACTCCGACCAGACATCAACCACAACTAAGTGTATTATCCCTTAGTGTTTGACCTAGCCATTACAACCAGGCTGAATGGTCCAGGGTCGATTGAGACTACTACTTGTTATCAATAAGCCTAGCACGGCGTATCTAATCGTTCGACTAGTCGTTAATAAATTATCAAACTTCCACGTAATTTACCATGAGTTAGCGTGAGCATTGAGTACTAGTTACTAAGTATTTACTGCATGATGAGATAGCCGAGAAGCTGCAAGGGGGGGGGGGGGGGGGGGGGGTTGACGGCGAGTTATGCTTTGTCAAAGTGGATGCTTTTTAAAATGAAACCGAAAGTCTTTAAACTGCGCATTGTGTTGGTTTTATGTATAAGTATCGAGTCGCATGACTTGTGACGAAATACCCAATTAGAGTTAGTACATGCCAAACACAAGGATATCTCGTGTCACAGATCATATGCACCTGTTGCAGCCAGTCGCAGACCTTGGTCGCTATAATTGAGCTCTAAGTGACGTTAAGTGACCGGTGAGCCACACTTCTTGACAAATTTTGTTTAGAATAACGACCCAATCATAAGGTAAAAAGTGTAAGCTGTATTTTAAGGGCTAATCTCAGTCCATCTAAGTCGTAAGTTTGGAGGAATAATACGGCTAATTTTGCGATTCTTTAAAGTCTTGAACCAAAATACCCTGCTGCGCCGTCAACTGATATATGTGAACGACCCCTAATAGTATTGCTTTAAAAATGAACTGTTGACTCTGAGCTTACAATTTATGTTAACCGGGTTCCATCAGGTGTATGGTATGAGGTATACTAAACCTATTTCGGTTAAAAGTGGTTCGTTTCATTCTGCCGCCATCATCATTGTAATACCATTTCCAGTGAAATGATACACATAATACGACTAGACTATACAATAAAACGGTTGGTCCAACTACCTGCGGATCCTACTGTATCTGTCGAAGAACAACTCCTTATATGGGCATCACGTGATGAAGAACAACTCCTGGCTGGTATATTTTATACTTGTGGGTTTGTTCGCTCAGAGTTCAGCGTGTTAAGTGGACTAAGCGTAATCTCAAAGTAAACCGTCATATCTCTTTATTCCAAGGAACCAAACTTGTTTACTGAATAAAGCATGACGTGTGATGTCGTCACACTCCTTATATGGGCATCACGTGATGTCGACAACATGGGCACCGTTCTTCATTAACTATTCACTAACTTTAACTGGAATAATTATTCACAATACTTATCCGTAATTATGCCTCAAGTATTTAATAACACCAAGTTAAGTTTCGGGGGAACCCTTGCACGGACCGGCTCTTCCAACAAAAGTAGCAGACATCAACTAGACATACCCCGACTCCGACCAG